TAGTTCGTTCGAATACATTAGAAGTATAACATTCTCCATAAGTTATAATTCTGTTAAAAATTATGGCAATAAACACAACGAATGTAAAATTAATTTGTTATGATTCTCATACTGACTTCAGCATAGATTTTTTTGTAAGTATATTATTAAAATATAAATAAACGCAAGAAGAATCGTATTTCAAATTTGCTGATGGTGGTTGTGGATGGTTAATTTTGTAAATTATGGTTTTAATTCCGACAGTAGGACATTAATGAAAATATGTTAATGTTATTAGTAATTATTAAAAAATTTTATAGGAAAATTTGGTGAAGGCGCCGAGACATTTAAAACAAAGGCTATTATTGAACTATCATTCAGATTTTATTGAAGTAAATTGATGAATGCTCATCTTTAAATTATATTCTTAAGTAAATTCGGATAGGGATGCTAATTTATTCTTTTTTTATAGTTAAACTACAATATTTGTAATATAATATATAGACAACCGAACATACAGCAAATACCATAACTCTTAGCAATGTAAAAAAAGTTATAAAAGGTTTCTTCTCATGGAAATAATTTTTACGTGAAAATCAATACTACCCCCGAAAAAACCACACAATACACCGTAGCAATAATTAATTGGCTAGAAATATTTTTAAACAACTTTTATCACCCAATAATTTCACGAGCGCTTTCTTATATTAAATTATCTTGCATATTTTAGCTAAATAATAATACCGAAAAGTCATCGTGTTTGAAAACCATTGACACAATGAGATTCTACGCACTTTTTTACATAATTATCACTTCTTGAAGTTTAATAAGTGCCTTACATTCCCCTATAATTTTACGAGCGCTTTTTTATGTTTAAATTATCTTACATATTTTTGCAAAAATAATACCGGAAAGCACCTATTTGAGAACGCACTTGAGAGTCATTGGCACCATGAGATTCTACGTACTTTTTTACATAATTATCACTTCTTGAAGTTTAATAAGTACCTTACATCTCTCAATAATTTTACGAGCGCTTTTTAATGTTTAAATTATCTTACATATATTTGCAAGAAGAATACCGGAAAGTACCCATTTGAGAACGCACTTGAAAACCGTTGGTACCATGAGATTCTACGTACTTTTTTACATAATTATCACTTCTTGAAGTTTAATAAGTACCTTACATCTCCCAACAATTTCACGAGCGCTTTTTTATGATCATTTTATGGTAGAGGCGAAAGCAAGTAGTTTTGTAAAAGCAAAATAGACTAGGGTATTGGACGTTATGCTTTTAACAGAAGAATATACTTTAATATCTAAACTTTATTATCTAATTTCAGAAGCTACTTTTGATTCTTGGAGCAATTATGTCTTTAGCGATTGCTTCTGATACTTGTTTGTATCAAAAATTATGGGACCCATTCTTCGATCCTGAATATCAAATAGCAAACGATGATGACAATAGTTCGGGTACTTTAATTTATTTCCTATTTTTGTTTTCTTTTCAATTAAATTTTATTGGAGTTAATACTACATAGCACTATTTTTTTTAGACGAAGAAAACGATCCAAATGTGCAAAAAATATTATCAGCAAGTATTTTAAGCGGCCATACATGTGAAGATGAAAATAAAAAAAGGGATAGTACCAATATAATTTCAAGCAGACTTATTAATAATGGACAAATATATGCTACGGATCTTGCTAGTCAGTCAAAATATAACGTTGATACTAATATTGATGGCAATGATATGAAATAAAGTAGTTTTTATTGCCCAAAATATAAATTTTATTATAAATACATGACACATCGACATATAGTGCACAAACTAAATCCAAAACTGAATAAAAATTGCAAAAGCAGGAGCTAAAAATAATCAAATGTAAACTGAAATAAGCAATTAAAATATACATTATGGAATACAAATTTTGCTGCTAAATAACTTCATTATATCCCAGCTAATGATACATGAAATCCGAACTTTTATTTTTATTTGCTGAAATATGCGAATACCAGCGACGAAATGTAATATAATTTTTTAATTGGATGCATAATTAGTTAGTAATAAGTAGTTTAACTGCTAAAGTTTGTTAATATCAAAAATATTCAATTTCTAAACTTTTTTATGATGATAAAAATTATAACAGTAGTAGCTTCTATATATCTCTTTAGTTTTATTACTTAAAAAAGTACATAAAAATATAAGTAGAAATACATAAAATCAATTTAAATAATATTTATGCAAGTGTCTCATTTATTTTTCGACTTTAGTGTTCACCTTGCTTGTTTTCAAAATACCAATTCTTCTTAAATGTCTAACAATAAAAGGAGTTGCTGCAAGCGTGATAGTTATTCGTGCAGGTGCAAAAACTTTGTGCACAGCATATGCAATGACAAATGTACCAGCATTGCTAGCAATTTCGGCCAGTTTTCCATCCTGGCTTATTCCAAGGGCAGATAGAAGTTTTACAACATCAACACCACTACAACAGGAGTTTTGATATTAAATCAGTTAATGTTATTTACAGTTTATTTACCTTGACACTAGTAAATACATTAAACCAAGGGACACAATTGAAATTGTAACGTGAAAAACTATTACTGTTGTGCCATACTCGGCTAGAGCCTTTTTTAATTTGGTTGCATTTGATGGTTTTGGTTCATCAGTCGAATTGCTACTGGTACTTTGGTGTCGTATCACAGCAGTTTGGAATGAAAAGGATTTGTTGTAAAAATTATTCTTTAGTATATTAACATCAAGTAAACAGTATTTTTTAATTTCATATCTACTAAAGGGTTTCTCATTGAAATTTTGACGATTAGGGCTTATGCAGCCGGCATTCCTTAACCAAACTCTATTCAAATAATGACTCTTGAAAAAGTTGAATGTATTTAATCTCGACATACACTTGGGACCCTACAAAAATACTGTGCTGTAGGAGTATGTCAAGAGTAAGTATAAAGTTCACCTGTTACAACAATTTGCTACATACCATTTTACAATTTTAAATGCAATAAACCAAACTTTAAAAACTACTTTATTGCTATCTATTTAAAGCAAGGTTGATAACAATATGATCATTATTATCAAAAAAGTCATATTAATTTACATTGTTCATAAATATCAATTTATTAATGTTTACATCTCAAATTTGAACTAACCTCAATTTAACAGTTACTTCATACCTACTTCTATTTCAGTTTATTTGTAAGTAAATATAATAGTTTAGTTGCAATATAAATACTGAAATTAGTAACAACAATAATGTTTGTATAAAAGGAGTTGTTAGAAATAATCAGATAACATTTGAACTTTGGTAGGTATATAAGATATTGGTTGCCAGTTAAATATGGTTTTTATATTAGTACTTATTACAGGGTTTTGAATTTGAGGCAGCCATCTGATCTAAGTTAGAGATATTTTGTAGAAATGGTTAGGGCATGGTATATGGATGATGATACTTCAACTGATCAACGATTGGAGCATCATCAAAATCCTCCCCATTTTGTTAATTTGGATGAACTATTTCAACTTACAGGAGTAGAGTATTTTCCAGTAAGTTTTATTATATATCTATAATGTATACCTATTATCAAATATGATAAAAATTTATAAAATTAGCAACCTAACAAATACATCTTTTTGTAGATTTCAATCGACTCATATAAATCAGATGGCAAATTGGAAGAATTAAAGAAAAAGAGAGGGTACACCTATGAAGATGAAATATGTTGCTCCAGAGATACTTTACCAAATTATGAAGAAAAATTGAAATCTTTTTTTAAGGAACACTTACACACTGATGAAGAAATTCGTTTTATTTTAGAAGGATCAGGCTATTTTGATGTAAGGGACAAGTATGATAAATGGATTAGAATTGAAGTTATACCAGGAGACCTATTGATTGTTCCAGCTGGAATATATCATAGATTTACTTTGGATGAAAAGGTTTTTTAAAATTTTATTTATAATAAGGAAATGATTTAAAGACTTCTTCACCTTAGGATTACATCAAGGCCAAAAGACTATTTGTTGGGGAGCCAGTGTGGACACCACACAACAGACCATCAGATGATTTACCTTGCAGAAAGGAATATTTGGAGAGAATGCAAATTACAGCCTAATTAATAAGGAAGATGTAATCTACATACATATCTATATACATACATCATCACAGGGTCATCAGTTCAAAGACTAGGTGGACATGCATATCTACTTCTTATGCTGAGACAATCTTTCCATTGCATTAAAACTACAACATACATCCCTATTGTTTGTGAGCAATAATCCAATCTAGATCTTTCTCTGCACCTCATTACTCCTGGTTATGCTTTTAATTAGCCCATCATGCCTAAGTGTTCTACCATCCCTTCTACCCTTTTCCTTGTTAACATCCACAACACTCGTTGCTCCTCTAGTCTTTTCAATGCTTCATTATTGTATATGTGCATATATTGTATGTTTTAAGCAATTATGTTACAATAAACATCATACAAATGTTAACACTTCTTCTAAGACTATCCTTAATCTTTAAAAAAAACTGTTAATAAATGTATTTTACAAAAAATAATGTCTCCTGGGGCTTTTTGGCCTTGTACATATGCCTGTTGGTTGTATTTTGTTTATCTCATTTTTAAATTGAATGTATTTAAGGTGGAACATATACTGTCTTCAGCTATTCCTGTTCTTACTATTTTATAAGAACCTGCTTCTGATAAATCAACTATTGTTGATGAACTGTCTTTACAATTTGTATCATTATTCAATGTACCACCATCAAACACACATGCAATACTACCCCACAACTCTTTAAATTCTGTTACTTTTACAGGACTAGGATGCCCACTTATATTTGCACTAGTAAGAGCAATAGGGTTTCCAGTCATTTCAACTACACTTCTAATAAATGCATTATTAGGTATTCGAACACCAATTTTTCCATCCATATGTAGTGAACTATCTAATTTTGTGTTGTTGTTAAGTTTCAGTAATAATGTTACTGGACCTGGTAAAAGCAATTTTAGCAAATCTTCTGATAAATGCTGTACATAAGCCCAGTTTTTGATGTCAGTTATTTTTGATAGACAAACTGCCAGAGGTTGGAGTTTGTTACGTTCCTTCAGTTTATATATTTCTTTGATTGCAAATGAATCTGTGGCAGAGCAAGCAAACCCATATACTGTGTCAGTCGGAACAGCAATTACTTGTCCAGATTTTAGCAAACTTGCTGCTGTGTTAACTGCTCCTGGGTCATTTACATACAATTTTAATGGCATCTTTTCCTTTAAGTGGTTCACCTCAACTGTTGAATGTATACTGTAGCTTTTTATGGAAATAACATTAACTAAAAGCACATTAATTAATAATTTGCTAACACTCTATAAATGATTATTTGTACCAGAAGTTTTTAATAACTGTGGTAAAGAATATTGTTTTAAGAACATTGTGAACAAGTGTTGCAGAAATTTTCACATGATTTTAACTTGTTACCCAAACATTTGTATTACAATTGTTATTGGGAACATTTCATTAATTATTGTTAATTGCTTTACAAGTTTTAATGAATTGTTGCACTTTGAAAAATATCTTAACTAATCATAACCTATAAAAGTGTTACCCTTTGTGTATCTATTATCTATGGTGTTTCCATAGTGTTTCTGACTCTTCGTGTATCTATTATCTATGCCATAGATAATTTATGCTGTTTCTCTTCTATGTATATCTTCCATCATAGATTTTCTTTTTCTTCCTTTTTTCAGGATTTTTAAAACAAAGTTGAACACATGAATTTTTACAAAATTCTGTTTGTATTTAGATAATTTTATATTTATTTGTGATTTTAATGAACTAAAATAAATTGCATTATTTGTATCATTTGTTGTAATTTTGTTAAATAAATTGCTACTGTAAATTCTTACTTTAGGTGAAGACAATATCAACCTAGGTTTAAACCTATATACGACTTTGGATTTTAAAATTCAAAATTTAGAATCGGGTGCTATTTAGGTATTTTGTGTATCAAATTTTATTTAATAAATAATAGCTGAAAAAGCTTTCTGATATTCTTACTCTTTATTTTGTGGAAAATACTTAATAACCAACAACGCTTTGGGTATAACCGATTATAATTAAACAAAAATTGGTTTTTCATTTTAGTTAAGCATTCAATGTTAATTTATCTATGTACTTAATTAATTTTGGGTTCAAACAACAAAAAGGAAAAACGTGTCCCAATTAAAAAGTTTTCATTGTAAATACGAAACTTTAATTAATAAAGAGATATTTTATAATCACAATCCCCTATCTTCTTTCGTTAAATTTTTTGTTTATGTTTGCACAATTAAAATTCATATAACGTTCCTAATAATATTTTTTTTGAAAGGTAATTGTTTTTCATATCTACTAGATAGGAAGATTATAAGCTTGTGTACTTCTGTCGCTTTAAATTAAGTCGAATTTTGAAGTGTGAATAACACTTAAGTTGATGTCAGATTAACTTAATTTGTCTAATTGTTAATTAAAAGAAACGTTTGTTTTATTGAGGTGTGAGATCTGAACTAACAACAAAAATGTTTTAAATTATATTAAAAAAAGACACTAACGCCACTTTTTAATTCTTGAACCATCTGGTTTTTCGCAAAAATTAACATTTTGTGCGGTCTCTTCGGCGCCATAATGAATTACAAAGTTCCGGTAATTTCCCGAATTACACGAAGCTACAGCAAGAAGTGC